CATCTGTACCAAATTCTGTTGTATATCTTTATTATCATGATCATAAATAATAATTGTTTCCATTTGTAGATGGTGGTGTCATGAGAAGTATGAAAAAAAAGACTTAGTCTCTGCCCTTTTAATTAGCTCTGCCTAGATATTACTCACACTGGAAATCAGAAAATCAGTATGAGTAGCCCCAAGTAAAAAGGCTTGAAAGAGGAAAAAAAAAAGAAAATTCTTTGATAAGTTGGGGTTTTTTTTATCCCTGAATAGACAAAGCATTCAAACAAGTCAGTTCCCAATTTCTGAGAAAACATGACCAAGTAAGTCAAGAGAGAGATAAGCAGCTGAGAGAAGCTAAGACTTGTACAAATGCAGGTAGGACAAAAGATAATTATCTTACAGGAATTTGGTGTGGCATCATTCACATTATGATTATGAGCAGCCTTCTTTAATTGTAAGTATATAGGAAAGGTATTATATTGCACATTTATAATGGGTCTGATTCATTTTGCAAGACCACTTCTCTATATGTGTCTGAGGAGGGTGGTGTGAGACAGGGAGCTGGAGAAGCATTCTTAAATCATCCTAAAATTCTATGAAAGCATGAAGATTTGAATTACATAAAGTCATTATTATGCCTCAAGGGTAAAAAGTTTGTAGCAGATTTAGACCTTGGGACTATAAAATGCTGTGTCACAAGAGATTGTTACCAGGAATTTTGGAGTTTGAAATTGATCACTGGAGGATGACTAGAGGCTGCTCCATTATAAAGTGATTAGGCAATTGCCTACAATCTGACACATGCAAGAGTCTTAACAGATATTGAAGTAGGCGACAAAAATAACCTTTCAGCCAAAGAATGTGAGAGACATGGCCGTTGCAGATGCCCCTTCACTGTCCTGGGGCAGTCTGCCTAAACAGTACTTAATAAACATATATGCGTTTCAGATTTGCTATTTCCAGAACAAATAAAAGCCATGTATTATTGAATAGTGCAGGAGCAGTTAATCCTACCTGCTTTCTTCTGAATGCATTGCTCAGACTAATGTTTAGAAAAATGGGACAACAAGCGACTCATCCGTCAGAACTCAGCCATGTCCTGATGAGCACTGGTTACACACACAGTGCCTACCCCTCCATCCAAGCCAGAACTAAATTGTGATGTTAACCAATAGCTGCTGCGCATCAGTAATAGCACATAATAATTCTATGTGACCTACCTACCTGTGGTCAGTGACATTGTAAATGTCTAGGGATATGACAAGGGCAGAGAACTTGAATCAGACTTTGCAAAATATCAAAGCAGGAGACTTTGGAAGAGTCCTCCCTGTCTCATTATAATTTTTTTTAGGGTCTTCTTTGCAGTCTGTAGATAAGGATGTGGAGTGTGGGATTAGAGAGGAAATAGGGAAGAGACTGGTCCCATGAAAGTTTTACATGATTGCATCTGTGTTTTAGAAAACTATCTCTGGAGGCTAGGCAGAGAAAGGATGAGAGAAAGAATTGACTAGAGATGGGGAAAAGGCTTTGGGGGTCATTACAAAGGCACGGTTGAGAGAGAATGAAAGATTGAACTACAGCAATGAAAATGGGAATTAAGAAGAATAACAACAAGATCTGCATGTAGGAGCTAATTAATGGTTTTTCAGATCTCATTTTGAGTTTCTGCTCGTGCTGCAAAGCTATGCTTAATACCTATTGGGTCGCTGGGCCGCTGCCTGGACCACATACTTAAAAGAGGTTGCCCGAAGCACTGGAGACTCCAGTGAGTTGGGTCTGCAGGTAAACTGTCACCTTACAACTTTCCCTACAGACAGACTGGTAGGGGACTGGAAAACAAATTAGCGAAGGTCCCTATTTTGGAAGCAAGGCCTTTCCTGATGAGGGAATATCATCCTAGCCAGAGTGGGGCTTCTCAGGGACAGCTCAGTGGTAATCTTGGCATCTCCTGCCTTAGCCCGGTAGGAAGCACACAGTAGCTCTCGATAATAAATAATAATAATAAAATAATTTAAAATTTACCCACACTTTCCACTCAGTCTACATAATAGTCTTATTTAAAATATATTCCTAGTTTTAACAGTGTAACTAAATTAACCGTAAGAAATGGAAACATAAACCATCCTAAGAAATAGAAACATAAACCATACTAACCAAAAACAAGCCCTGAAGGAACAAAACTGAAAATAGTATATACAAATCAGATGAACCAGGGATTGAAAAGTAATATAATATAGTACACAATGGGTAAACTAAAACCACCACAGATTAGTAATAAGCTCTTTAAGAGGCAAAGAGTTTTATTTGCTTACCTGCTGCAACCTCAGATCCTAGCACAAGGGAGGCACTCAGTAAATATTTGTTGAATGAATAAACAAGCCATCCTGGTTTTTAAAAAGAAAGAAAGAAAGAAAGAAAGAAAGAAAGAAAGAAAGAAAGAAAGAAAGAAAGAAAGAAAGAAAGAAGGAAGGAATACAATTAGCTACAATTAGCTTTTTCTTCTATTAGAAGTTGATTTGAGTATTTTTTTTTTATTTGGTCCAATTCTAGAACTAAAGAAAACATCTCCCATGCAGCTATATTTTTTTTTTATGTAGACCACTGCCAAATAGTGATATTTTAATCCCATAAGGAATAGAGAATAGAATGCAAATTGTTCTTTTTCTCATGATAGAAGCTCTTATTCTTTTGCTCTGTCATTCTGCAATTCTAGAGAAGCTGGAGATAGAAAATCATGTGTAGATGTTTGACATTTAGTTCTTTCCAGGGAAATAAACTTACTTGGCTAGTTTAATACTCCTTGGTGAACTATTAATGATGGGTTGTTTCCCAGAGATGTTTTTCTCAGAAACATGAAGAAAAATAAAATCTTAAAAGGAAAAGGAACACGTCTGAGCAATGGGAGAATTTTCAACTAGCATATTCCTGAAACAATCAGATATGATCTATGGCAACATACTTTGTCAAGCAAGAATTCACTCAGTTCATCATGTAGCACATCCTCAAATACTTCAGTCTTTTCTTAAACTAGCCCAGACAGAGTCTGTTTTATTATTGAAGACTTGCACTCATTTATTCACTTAACAAATACTTATTAAGGATCTACTACGTGCCAAAATTTTCAGCTACATCCTAAGCATATAGTGTTAAATAAAAAATAACCCTTAACCTTCTGGGAGGGCATAGCCTCCTACAATTCGCTCCATGAGATTTCACAAGTTAAAATGCCCTTGTGTTTTGGGACTAGTGAAACAAAATATGTGAAATGAAGAAATGATAACATCTTTTGAAATGTTATTACGGGCCAAGCACAGTTCCCTAGCCAAGCTTTCTAAATAGCTTCCCCACTCCACCTCTGCTTACTTTTTTTTTTTCATCCTGCGCTTTGTTTCTTCATCTATTAATTTCCACTTAACATTGTTCAAGCCTCTATCCCCGGCTCTGGGAAGTAGCCCGCAGACAGTACCGTTTTTTGTAGTCATTGCATGAATGAGCTTGAGAGGTAGGAATACTTTTACAAATGAGACCAAGACTGATCACGTAAATGGTTTGCTTATGATTGTGAGACTCTTAAGGCACAAATCAGGGGCTTCAACCTTTGTATGAAGGCAAAGCCTGTGTTCTTTCTACAACCACTCCTTTAAATGCATATTTCTGTACCGACTCTCCTCTGCACTGTTAAGCACTGTTATGTGAAAAACACTTGGGGGTTCAGGGATCTTGCCTTCAAGAGCCTGACAGTCTGCTTAGGAAGAAAAGAAATATCTGGAGATCCAACTAAAAGTGTAAGGCAGTGTCTGGCTCTGGAAGGAACCTCAGAGACAATAACAGGAGGAGGCTGAGCAGGGCCTGGTGCTGGGTCCTGAAGAGCACCCTTACCTGGCTGGGGTCTGTTGCCCGAGAAGAGGAGTAAGCAGAGTACGTAAAATCCTTCAGAGTAGACAGCTTTCCTACAAGCCCTTTCCCTGAGTCCCTGTTTCCATTTAGATGCCAGAGAAGAGCAGATTCCCCCCACCCCCTTTTTTGCAGAGGGAAAATGGAGGAAGGTAGAAGAAAGGCTCATTTTGAAGAACATTTGGAGAATTTGTGGTCTTAGGAAGAAATGAAGAGATGGAGAAAAACAAATTGCAGCAACTGAGGTTGTTTTGCCTAGGAAAGAGAAAAAGTATGGGAGTGGAGGGCAGGATGAGGAGCCAACTGCAAAATCTCTCTTCATGGGGGAATTCAGAGTTTGTTGCATGTCCTCACACTTACTTGGAAAACATCTGGCGTGTCTTGCCCTTGAAGGACTGTTGGTTCTTTCTGGAGGAGAGGGTTTAGATTTACTCTCTTGACACCAAACAGTGGAACCAAAGGGTGAAGGCCTGATGGAAACGCGTTTTCTACTCGACACAAAGAAACGCGTTTAAAGGGAGCTGCAGTCTCAGGAGGTGGTGAATCTGCTCCGAGAGTTCTCCAGCAGAGACAGGTCTCCCCCTGGGCCCCGCCCGCCAGGGAATCGGCCCCCAGGGTCTTGGCACCCAGGTCCAGGGTCTCAGGCCGGGGGCGGGGACCGGGAGCGAGCGTGCACGTGCCCGAGGCTCCAGCTTGCGCGTCCCGGGCTCCCCTGGGAGCGCCGCGGGGCGGAGCGGGCCGGGGAACGGCGGCAGAGCTCCGCGGGTGGCTGGGAGCGCTGGAACAGGGCGCAGCATGTTCGCGGCTGTCGGGGGCCTCGGGGGCCTCCGGCGCATCCGCCTGGGGCGCATCTTACGCTGGGCCCCGGGAGCGCACGGAGAAGCCGCGCCCCGGCCCATCGCGCCTCTGCGGCCTCGGGGTCTGCCCCGCTACTGCAGCGGCCGGGCGGCCAGCGGCTCTGAGCACCAAGGTCCAGGTGAGGCCGGGCTGGGAACGACCTGAGAGGGAGGAGGTGCGGAGCGGCGGGCGAGGAGCCGGGGCTGGGGTGAGGGAGGGAGTGGAGGCGTGAGTGCGCTCTGAGCCACTGTGCCGTCGGTCAGTCGGTTCCTCCGTAGCAGGAAAGGTCCACCGGGTCCCCGCCGAATACAAGCCTTCGCAATTCGATAAGAAAATCCTGCTGTGGACTGGGCGTTTCAAAGCGATGGAGGACATCCCGCCTCGGATCCCGTAAGTGTGGCCTGTGCGGTGGCCAGGTTTCGGGCGCGTGGGGGGTGCGCGTTCGATGCACGTCCCGACCGCCGCGCGCCCTGGAAAGAAGGCGGCCGCAGCGCTTCACAGCACCTACCACCTTAAGGAATATACCTCCCCAGCCTCCCCCTAGTGCGGTTCAACGTCAAATGCCTTGACTGAACAGTGGGCACCTAAGCTTACAAGGAGATTGGTGAAGTTGAGCGAAACCCCAGAAGTTCAGTGGGCACTTCCACCATCGCCCAGATACCAGCCCCGGGGAGCTCAGAGCCGCAAGGCAGCGGAGCGCTCAGGCCACACGGAACGCATGGTCCGCGCGTGCACCTCGGGTGCCTGCGGGCTCCCCAGAGAGGGAGAGGGGCTCTGCCCGGGGAGCAGCTCCCTGCTCCACCCAACGAAGGCTCGTGGCTCCTGGGAGGACTAAAGAGCCTCTGGGAGGAAGCCGCACCCACGCGACCTCCTATTCTGGGGCGGGAGAAGCCTGGTGTACCTGGTTCTGCAGCCCACCGAGTGCCGGGTTTACTCGGGCTAGGACCCTCGGAGCGTCAGCGTCGCTGGCCTCTTCACCATCCCAAAACCGAGATAGAGGCTCGCTTAAATGATAAAACTCAAGCTGACAACTTCACCCCAAGGGTAAATTTAACCTGTAAAAACCATCTTTCTACAATTTCAGTTTATGCAAGCCCAAAATACTTCCCAGCATTTTTTACAAGGGAGTGGATTAAAAAAAGGGAATGAAGGAAACTAACAATAAAACCAATCTACTACTTTTTAAGCTGATCTTTTAAAAAAAAATGAGACTAGAACTAATATCAAATAAGGATTTCAGATGTCATGTACATAATTTTTATACAATGTAATCAATGCCTAGTAGAATGAATAACGGAAACTAGGCCTACATCTTGTTCTGCACATATTACCTACACTTTTTAAAATTAAAATTTGAAGTTACATTTGTTTAAATTGAAGTATATTTGACACACAATGTTACATTAGTTTCAGCTGTACTTGTCTACACTTTTATTACTTTGTAATTTACTAGTTACCAAAAGCATATCAAATAAATGGAAAAAAAAACATGTGATGGGAAATGTTCGGTCAATAATGAATTCTCAAACATTTTATCTCTTTCTTGGATCAAATTATTTAATGAGGAAAGGACATGGAATTTGAAATAACACAGAATTTGAAATCTGTATTCAGCATTTATTCAACCACAGAGACACTTTTTAATATTATTAAACAAATATTGTTTTCTTTGAGATCTGTAGACTCTGAACTACAGACTTAGCCCAAAGCAGAAATTATCCTCAGAAAAGCTAAAATACCATCCCTAATTTTTTGGAATTTTGAGTTTTAGTGCTATAACAGAGTAATCAATACTTCAGTAATAAATAAAAATAAATAAACTGATAACTAAAAAAAGAAGGTAAAGAACCTGCAGTATTGTAAATTAATGCTTGTCAAGAGACAGTAGGCCCAATATTGCATTAATATAGCTCTATGTGTGAAGAGACCCATTTTATAGAAATAATTTAATTTCCCCAGGATCGTAGTCAAAAGAAATGTTATAAACAGGAGAATTTAACTTCAAATAAGATGTCTAAGAAAGGAATTATAGTTTGGCATTGGAAACATTAAAGTATTTGAATATTTTTCATTGTGTTGTTTTCTATAATTTTTTTATGTTTTTATTATTTATTTGAGAGAGAGCAAAGAGGGGGGAGGGTCAGAGGGAAAAGCAGACTCCCCGCTGAGCAGGGAGTCCGATGTGGAACTTGATCGTGGGACTCCACTGGGATCATGACCTGAACCGAAGGCAGTTGCTTAACCAAGTGAGCCACCCAGCCACCCTGTTTTCTATAATTTTTTAAAGCATTGCTGTTGAAGAGGGATATGCCTCCCAAACTAAGTTTTAGACTTACAATGTGAACAGCTTTCACTTAGTATGCTCTTAATGGACAAGTAATTAACAAGTGACCTATAATTTTTGTATCAGACACTAATGATATTTAATAATAATGCTTTTTCTTGTTTTTTCAGCACAAACCTAATTTGGTATAGCAGATCAAAGCCAGATGGATGGGTAAAAAAGATCATATCTTCTAGGCTCCATCTGGAACAAAAGTCAGCAACAAGTATAATCTAATAAAGTCTTCATATTCACCTGTTTGCAACTAACATCTTAAAACGTACATTAACCTGTCTCAAATTTAAGGAAAACAGGCTAGATATTGGCTTGCTGTGCTCTTTAAACTGGTGGAAAAGTTAAAGAAAAAGTTTTTCATTTTTAAAAGAAATTGTAACTTGTTTTTCTGAAATTTTTTTTCAATGTAACTACATTCTATTTAAACTTGACATTAGATAAGAAAGAATACTGCTGCATACATTCTCAAGAATCATTCTTTAATCATGTGTATCTATAAACTACCACTTCGTATTATTGCAAATTGTTAAAGTTTATTTCAGTATAAAAGGCCTACAGACATGATTAGGTTTGTAACCCTGCTTTGTTAAGTAGCATTGCTAAAATCTTAAACAACTTGCTTGTAACTTTATATTAATAAATAAGTCTCCCCTGTATTCAAGGAAGTATATAAAATTTCAGAATAATAAGAAAACGAAGGTGACTTTGTCTTTTTCTTCGACAAATCATTGTAATTTTGATCACTTATTTTGAAAACTTCATGCAAAAGCCACAAAGGAAACACCTTTTCTCTAATAGTGGTCCCCACAGAATGGGGATAGGATGGGAGGGGGCAAGAAGGGATCAGGAGCCCAGTGAGAAAACAAAATGAGGAAAACGAATTTTAAAAAACAACATGTTTAAAACTAAAAAGGAGGGGTGGCTGGGTAGCTCAGTCAGTTAAGGGCCCAACTCTTGGTTTCAGCTCAGGTCATGATCTCAGGGTCATGAGATAGAGCCCTCCTCGGGCTCCAGGCTCAGTGCACAGTCCGCTTGAGATTCTCTCTCCCTCTCCCTCTGCCCTCTCTCCCACCACCACACTCTCTCACTCTCTCAAAATAAATAAATAAAATCTTAAAAAAAAAAACTAAACTAAAAATGAAGCCCACTTAATAACAGAAGGGCCAAATGAACATGAGTCATAGACATATATAGACTTAAATTTTTACCTTTACCCTGATCTGTGACCAAAAAAAATGATGGAGAGTCAGGCCATAATTTCTAGTAGTTATATTTTGAGCAGTTAGAAACTAAATATACTCCACTGTAGTTTCATGGTGACTAACATTAATTAAGACCTAAATATACCTGTTAATTTGAAATTGGTAACATAATGGACTAGCCTCTGGATGTCTTCCACATCTGCAGTTGGCATTCAGGGAAATTTGGGGAATATTTACATAACAAATGATTGTCTATCATGCCAGTGAGAAAAAAGCAGATTGCTTCAATTAATTAACAGAATACACATCTTGGTTTAGGCCAGAAATGATAGATGCTGCAAGAAACAAGGCTCGGGTGAAAGCTTGTTACATAATGATTGGACTCACCATTATCGCCTGTTTTGCAGTGATAGCATCTGCCAAAAAGGTGAGTATCTCTTTAAAATAAAGCTGGAATGGTGAACTTTAAGAAATATTATGACCTTTGTTCTCAATTTGGGGATTATTGCTGTGTTTTCAGTGTAAGCACAATTTCAACTTAGACACCTTGAGCCACCCATAAATATCTATCCTCCTGGAAGCAATTTCTTTCATGAAAATTTGAGTCCACAAATGTAAACTACATGGGCAGACAGGAGGAACAAAAGTTTGTTTCCATTTATAAGATGAAAACAAAAATAGGACAGTTCATAGCCTGGTTAAAATCTGCACAAGAAGTTTGTTGTGTGAAAGTTACCCAGACTAGATTGTTCCCCAAGTCATGAACTCAATCAGAGCTGTCGTATAAAATCATGAAATCGTCAGAAATGGCAAACATTGGAAGTGATCAAGGCCAACTTGTTTGTCTATATCCTGTATGTGATCCCTTTCCTTGTCATCTCCAGTACGTGGTTTCTAGAGACAAATTAAGAGCTGATTACTCTAATTGTGTTTTTTGCTTCCCCAAATCCTTTCATCTGCTGATCAATTTTTACCATGAAGAGCAGCCCCACAAATATTGGGAGACATCTAACACATCCCCACGAGTCTTCTCTGCTCCAGTCTTAATTTCCCTATCCCTTACAACTTCCCTCTATTTTGAGCTCTCCTCTGAACACACTGCAGTTTATCAGTGTCCCTCTTCATTGTGGCATTTGCAACTGAACCCATCAGAGCACCACTGTAACTTACTTGTTCGTGAACTGCATCCTAGAAGCACAGCCAGAGTTGGAACTAGTTTTGGCAGCAGCATCACACAGAAGAGTTTGCTTGGGTCTGTACTTCTTCACTCTCTGGGCGTGTGTAGCCGATTACCATTCTCCCTCTTACTTGTATTTGAGTATTTGAGCCCACGCATTCACATAGGGACTGAGGCTGTAAGCTTACTGATGTCATGTACATATCCATTCATTTCTATTAGTGTGGCAGAGAACGTGTGCTTTGAAATGATTCTCATCAAAGGGGAAATTTCTTAAATATTTCTTAAATATTCAAACACAGAAATAAAGAAATTTGGTCATCTCTTGTTTATAACCTACTGTAGATAAAATGACTGTCCACCAAGGTGATGATTCTCTAGCTCCTAAATGACAGACTAGAGCCTGATATTGTCTGGACCCTCCTTGTTTTATATCTTCTCTTTGTTCATTATGCTACATCCACGCTAGTTCTATTTTTTTTTTTTGCTTTAAAATATTTTATTGGAATCCTTTTGATAAAAACAAGTATTTATGTTAAAGAAGTCTAATTGGTCTAAAAATACTTAAGCATCTCAAAATTTCTGGGCAATTTCTTTCCTCCAGTAAGTTGACAGCTGCTCACACAGGGTAATACAGAAAAGCTAGCTGGAAGCTCCTAGGATATGCCCAACACCAGATAGGAGATATCCTCTGTGTTAACAAAACCCGTAGTAGCCAGGGAAAAAGGACGCAGCTCTTCACTTCTCATCACAGCCTGTAGGTTCAAGTGGTAGGAGCCATTACCTAGGCATCACAGACATCTCTCCACAGCATTTCTCCCAGAGGGCGAATTCCAAACTTCAGCCCTTTAGCTACCTAGGCTTCCTTCTTTCCCCTGGCCTTGCCATAGCTGGCTTATTCTCACTCCGGTCAGAGACCTTCCCTGACCACCCCTCTAAAATGGCCTTGCCCAAGTGCTATTTTATCATCTTCCCAGCTGCTCACGAGTAAGCCATTATACATCAGCAAATCCTCGACTCCACTTTAAAATATACCTACCATTGGACCACTCCTCATCATCTCTCCTGATATCACCCTGGTCTGACATAACCAACATCTGTTGCCTAATGGATTGCAATATCTTCTAGTGGGTCTCACGGTCTCCCTCTTGCTTCTCTCCAATTCTTTTGTTTTAAATAATCAACGCATATACTTTAACTGAGACTGTGATAAACGGAGGTGGAGAAGAGGTTAGCAATTTGAGATATATTTGGGGAGGTAGAAAGGGTAGAACTTTGAAGTAAATTTGATGTGGGAAGAGAAAAGAAAATGGAAAAAAGAAACCAAAAAGCCTGGGTTTTTTACTTCAGTAACTAGGTGGATGGTACCACCATTTGTGGAGATGTGTAAAGCTGGGGAGAGAACTGGTAGGCACGACAGGCAAAATACACTCAGTCCCATACTGTGGATATATTAAGTGTGAGGGGCAGATTAGGCATTCAACAGTATCTATTAATTTTTTTTATTCTGCTAAGGACTGTGTACACTCTTCAGTCTAAGGACCTATATACAGCTTCCCTCACTTCTGAAAAGTCTACGCTGTCATAACTTCAAATAGGGCCCCTTCACCCATTCTGTCTATTCTTTCCACCTACTATGCATGTGTGCTGGAACTTCTAATTAGATTCTCCATGTCTCTTTTTTTTTTTATTTTTGGTATCTGTATCTCTGTACTGCACTTAAATCATTCCCTCAGACCTATTTTCTAGCTAGAGGTTTTTTTTGTTTTTTTTTTTTTAAGATTTTATTTATTTGAGAGACAGAGAGTGAGAGAGAGAGAGAGCACAAGAAGGGTGAGGGGCAGAGGGAGAAGCCGACTCCCCACTGAGTGGGGAAATGGATGTGGGGCTCAATCCTGCGACTCCAGGATCATGACCTGGGCGGAAGGCGGACACTTGACTGAGCCACCCAGGCATCCCTCTAGCTAGAGTTTTTACATCCCATTTATGATGCTGATCATCTTATCTTTTCAGAGGTGATTCCTGCCCCCGCACCCCAGATAAATGCCTAGTTTCCTTGCCAGTTCCTTGGGCTGGTAAGAGGAATTCTAGTCATTTCAGTGGAGTATCTGATACTTCCAACCCCAGATCCAAACTCTGGACTCACCTTTTGGGGGTAGAGATTAAACTCCCAGCTCACAGCTGTTAAAACCAATATTTTCCCCTAATGCCCCCTGCCTGAAACCATTCCTTCCCATCCTGGCCTCAGTCCTTCTTATTACCCACCAATTCTTGCCTTTTGAGTTCTTTCCATTTCAGATACCTGAGGATTTCCCTTTCTTGATTTTGAACATAACCATTTGAAAATATTTTTGTTATTTTTTAAACCAAAAAATATGTCTTTGTGAGCCAAGAGAGCCAGGGCAGATTTCTGATGTCAGTTGTCCTATTGACTAGAAGTCTCACAACTTACATAATTTTTTTTTCTATACCAAAGGATCATTTTTCTTGAATACTATTTGTGACAGATGTTTTAAGTTACTTTTCTCCTTTTCACAGAGTATCTCCTATGTATGTCTATCTGAAACACAGATCCTTTCCAGAGAGTCACAATGCTTTGCTTTGTTTTTTGTTTTTTATTTTTTTATTTTTCAGGCTGCAGAACGACATGAATCCTTAACGAGTTGGAACCTGGCAAAGAAAGCTAAGTGGCGTGAAGAAGCTGCATTGGCTGCACAGGCTAAGGCCAAATGAAATTCTAAGTGACACAGTGTTAATCAGAGGATCATTACTATTATCAAAAACAATAAAAGATAGGTAAAATAGAATATTTAACAAAATAATTGCCATGGTTTTATTTGGTAAAGAGAAGCACAAAGTCTTTTTACTTTTACTTTTTAGTAAAATCTTACTGAAGTGGAACTGTATTCAGAAAAGTGCACAGAAGTGTATATAGCTTGATACATATTTACATAGTGAACAAACCTGCATAACCACCTCCCAGGTCAAGATGCGGAACACCAGTAACATCTCAGAAATCTCCTTTCTGCCTTCTGTCATTCATTACCCTCCAAAGGTAATCATTGCTGTGTTTTGTCACCATAGGTTAGTTTTGCTTGTTTTTGAACTTTATGTAAATAGAATTACACAATATGCACTTGTGAGGATGGATTCTTATACTCAACATTATGTTGTGAGATCCATCCACAAATTTTGTGTAGCATGAGTTTATTCATTTTTATTTTGTTATAGTATTCCATTGTATGAATATGAGTCAGTTTATCTGGGTATTTGTTCCAGTTTTTGGCCAAGACAGATAATGCTAAAATGAGCACTCTGTGTATGTCATTCACTAAGCATTCTTTAAAATCTAAACTAATTTTCAACCAAAGTACCACTATATTTGGGTAGGACTCTTACATTGATTGAGAGGAATGTAAAACTATCAACTTCAGATTTTGTTAAGTTAAATATATTTGTTAAGGTTCCTAGGGTACCAGGAAAATATGAACTCTCAAACAAGTAGAGATTTAAAAAAAAAATAGATGACTGACTTTAGTCAAAAGGCAAAAAAGGGGGAAGGGAAAGAAAAAGAGAATAGAAAAAAGAGAAACAGGACAAAATGACGTGGTCAAAATGAATCCAGATATACTGGTAGTCAGAATAAAGGACACTACTAAAACAATAGAATACTGTATAGACTGTTATGAGAGCTAAGATTTATAGAATAAAAAATGGGAATTTTGTCAATGGAGAAATGAAACCAAATGGACACCTAGCTTCAATACATTAACTTTGCTAAAGCTGGTTGATTCATCAATGGAGAATTAAACCAAACTATCAGTCAGTTATTTTATCTCTTAAGGCAGAATTGTCTTATGGCCAATTAGTTAGGCTTTAAAAAGATTTGAAGGGAAAATGCTTATGGCAAAGATGTTTACAGAAAAATTACCTATAACAGAGATCGGGAGCAGGACTTCTGTTGTTAGTCCTCTTTTGTTTGAGTCACATCATTTTATTAACTAATCTGTTCCCTGTCACCTATTTTAACAGTAAATCCCTAGACCAAAGGTTTTGTACTCTTTCATTCTATAAACTGACTGCTTTTTTGGATGGTGGCCATTCTCTAGTGCACTGTACAGAAGATTTCACCATGAAAAGTTGTGATTGAACCTTCAATCTTATCACACTTTCATCTTGGCATTATAAAGCTGCTATGTCTTCAGTTTCAGCAGCAAAATCCATTGTTCCCACCATAACAACTGAAAAAGAAAACATTTTCAGTTAGGTTTCAACTGATTGTGTTTTATTTAAATTCAGTCATCACATAAGCTGAAAATAAAATTTGTAATAACTATTATTCTGTTTTTTTAACACATAAATATACAAATTCTCACTTGAACTTGAAAAATGTTATACTAATTCTAAATTTGTATGCACAAAGTAACCTAGCATCTAAATACATAAAAAACAGTCAGAACTACAAGGAAAAAATGGACAAGCCCACCATTATTTTGAGAAATTAACACATCTCTCTTAGAAACTGACAAATTCCACTGACTAGTAAATATATAAAATATGTGAATCAATTAATACACATTCTTTTTTAGCATGCATGGAACTTTCACTAAAACAGCACATACTAAACCATAAAGCACATTTCATCAACTTTTGAACTTCGTGCAGTCATATCACAACTTAGAAATTAATAGGATGATGTTTTTATTCACTTGTTTATTTATTGTCATAAGGTTTTTAAAGTGTGATTTTCCAAATGACTCATAGGTCAAAGAGTAAATCATAATAGAAATTTAAAAATGCTTAGAACTGAATATTAAGAAAAAGCTATATATCAAAACTTGTGGAATGTACCTGAAGTGGTAATTCAAAGTAAATTGTTAGCCTCAATATGCTTTTCTTAGAAAAGAAAGGTTTATAACAAATGTATTAAACATCCCTAGAAATTCGAAAAAGAAATATAGAATAAATCCAAAGGGAATAAAGGATTGGAAATTACAAAATTAAGAGCAGGAACTAACGAAGTAAATAAAAACATAGAATATAGAGGGTTGATATAACTGAATTTGGCAGAGTCAAGATAAAAGATAAAAAGTATAAAAAACAGTTTAGAAATGATAAAAGGGATGAAAGCCAAGGTACAACAGAGATTTTAAAAAGAACGTTATGAATTGGTATGCCATCTTCTGCTCTGGCCAAAATGGAGTAATAGGGATAAGATATACTCTCTTGCCTGAAACAACTAAAAATTGGGACAAAAACATGAAACAACAATTTCCAGACATTGGGCATCTAGCAATGAAGGGCACTGATCTGTGAAATAGAGAAAATAAGTTAGTTGGGCCCGGTAATTGCTCCACTTTACTGCCTAAAGAGTTTCAAGACTACATGGCATAGATGGGAAACCTGGGTAGAAACTAGAAGTCTCTCAGAGTTGAGGAAAAGAGTCAGGAGGCCAGGGAAGATAAAACAATTAGATTTCACAGGCTAGGGAACCAAAGTGAGAGACCTGAACAGAGAGCTCTAGAGATCTGCAGCTGAGTGTTGATGACCACAAGTGACCACTACACATGGTCATGTAAAGAACCACGTGAAAGAACAAGGTGAAACAATTTTTGGAGCTCACACATGGCCAAGAATAGTTTGAGTTCCACCAGCCAAATTAGAAACTCTCATGTTTGACAGAGAAGCAGAGTACTTAGAATGGTATTACCTCAGTAGTAAAATAAAGGCTGTTCTGTGCCTGCCTTACAAAGTTTAAAAGAAAAAAAAAAAGTTTAAAAGCAAGACTGTAAAGTATCAAATTGTCTTCAAGTAACTTCATTGTGTCCCATAACAAAGCTTAAGAATAGATGTAGGAAACCCAATATCTAATAGCCAACAAAGTCACATTCACAATGCCTGGTATCCAATAAAAAATTACCAGACATGAAAAGAATATAGCAAAATGGAAAATACAAACCATAATGAAGAAAAAGAATAAAAAGACCAGACGATAGAATCAGCAGATAAGGACAACATAACAGCTATAATCATACTTGCCGTGTTCAATAGAGTACAGGAAAGCTTGAGTATAAGAAACATGGGAGATATGAAACAGACCCAAGGAGAACTGCTAAAGATGAAATATACAAAGTCTGACATGAAAAATACACTAATGGAATTAAGAATAAATTAGACACAACAGAAGACAAAATTAGTGAGTTTAAAGACCTAATTACCCCATCCCCCCAGCCAGCTCCCCTCCAGCAACCCTCAGTTTGTTTCTTATAGTTAAGAGTCTCTTATGGTTTGCCTCCCTCTCTGTTTTTATTTTTCCTTCCCTTCCTCTATGCTCATGTTTTGTTTCTTAAATTGCATAAATGAGTGAAATAATATGGTATTTTTCTTTCTCTGACTGATTTATTTTGCTTAGCATAATACCCTCTAGTTCTATCCACATTGTTGCAAATGGCAAGATTTCATACTTTTTAATGGCTGAGTAATATTCCATTGTGTCTTTATTCTTTCATCTCTCGATGGACATCTGGGCTCTTTTCATACTTTGGCTATTGTGGACATTGCTGCTATAAACATTGGGGTGCATGTGCCCCTTTGAATCACTATTTTTGTATCCTTTGGATAAATACCCAGTAGTGCAATCGTTGGGTGATAGGGTAGTTCTATTTTTAACTTTTTGAGGAAACTCCATACTGTTTTCCAGAATGGCTGTATCAGTTTGCATTTCCACCAACAGTGTGAGAGGGTTCCTCTTTTCCCATATCCTCACCAACATCTGTTGTTTCCTGAGTTGTTAATTTTAGCCACTCAGGAGGGCACTTGATGTGATGAGCACTGGGTGTTGTTACATGCAACTGATGAATCACTAAATTCTACCCCTGAAACAATACACTATGTTAACTAAATTGAATTTAAATTAAAAAAATAAAGATAAAGCAATGAAAACTACCCAAACACATAAAGAAAAAGAAATGAAAAAAGCATCAGTAAGCTGTGTGACTATTTTGAGAAGCCTAGTATAAGTGAAATTGGAATTGAAAAACTATTTGAAGATGTAATGGTTGAAATGTTTCCAAAATTGATGAAAACTATAAACTCATAGACCCAAGAAGCTCAGCTACCTGCAAGAACAAGAAAATGAGAAAAGGCAAACCAGGACACATCATAACCAAATTGCTTAAAATCAGTGATGAAGAAAAAAATTTAAAAGCAGCCAAAGAAAAAGTTAACATTACTTACAAAGGAAAAAAGATAAGAATGATAGAAAAATTGTTGTCAGAGAAAGGCAGGTCAGAAGACAGTGGAGAAACATCTTAAAAGAACAAAATACCTCTAGAATTCTATACCCAATGGAATTGCCTGGGTGACTTAGTTGGTTACACATATCTGACTCTTGATTTCAGCTCAGGTCATGGGCTGTGGAACCTGCTTAAGATTTTCTCTCTTCCGGGGCGCCTGGGTGGCTCAGTCGGTTAAACGTCTGCCTTCAGCTCAGGTCATGATCCCAGGGTCCTGGAATCGAGTCCTGCATCGGGCTCCCTGTTCAGTGGAGAGCCTGTTTCTCGCTCTGCCTACTTGTGCTATCTCTCTGTCAAATAAATAAATAAATAAAATCTTAAAAAAAAAAATTTTTCTCTCTCCCTCTCCCTCTGCATCCCCCCTCTCCCTCTCTTAAAAAAAAAAAAAAAATCTTTCAAAAATGAAGGTGAAGTTAAGACTTACTCAGGCATACAAAGGGTGATGGAATTCACCATCAGCAAACAGAATACAAAAATATTAAAAGTCCTTCATATAGAAGGAAAATGATACCAGATGGAAATCTACATCTACACAAAGAATTGAAGAGCACTAGAAATGGTAACTATGGGGGCAAATATAAAAAC